GAAACAGAAGGCCCACTGGGAATCACTAAATTTTGCAACCTTCCAATCATATGATTAAATATAATTAAGTAAAGACAAGACCTCTAACTTTAAAACCTGCCAGTTTCGTAGTGGAAAATCCTCATGACCTTTGTACTAGAATGCAATCCAACTGTGTAAAACTACTGATGTAATAATAATGAATTTCTTGCTAATTAAAAACTAGTTCATCATACATAAAAGAAGTCAATGCTAGTATGTACCTGGGATAAATGCTATTTTAAGGAGAAGTCATACATTTCTAGATCAACTGTGGTAAGTATTGCATCTACTTACCTAGAGATAATGACATCTAATTACAAGGGTGATTGGATTCCCTAAATAATCTACTTATGGGAAAAAAAATAAAAGGTAAATTTGGTCCAACGAGGAATTTCCCCGAGTAATCTGCTAGAGAAAGCCAAAGAATTGTAGACTATGGAGATGGCAAACTCACAATGTAAACTGCAAACCATTGTTCTGTGGCCATGACCTTAAAAGAGGTACCCCAGAGGTGATCTGGGTCAGCATGCCCAACAGAAACGCAAATAAATGCTAGATTGCGTTGTGTTCCTGGACAGGACACACCGATGCCCTTTTCCTTTGTTGGCTAATGTTTCTGAGAACTTGTGACGGCTTTCTTTTTCAGCAGGTTTGGCAGCACAGGTTGGATTACATGGTGTTGATGATCTTTAACATATATTCAGGAAATAGTGATGATGTTCGGCTCTGAACATTGAAAACCCACTACGGCGAAATGGAAAATAGGGAGATTACTTTGGAAGAGCTAATCCTAAGGCACCTGAAGAAGTAGAAGAAGAAAGAAAACTCTGACCCCTTTCTTGTGACCATTATCAAAACAAGACTAGGAGTTTCTCCTTGATCTGTGTGTGCTGGGCACCTGAGAACTGATTCTAAAGATTCTAATACGGTTACTGTTTTGGCTTGGTTTCAGTTTTGTTTTGTTTTATTTTATTTTGGGACGGGATCTCATACCTTCCAGCCTGGCTTCAAACTCATGACGTAGCCATAAACTTCTGATTCTCCTGACTCTACCTCTCAAGGACTGTGATTATACTCACGGGCCACCCAGCTCAGTTTACTTTAACGAGTTTTTAATGAAGAGTATAGGCTTCTTCACCCATTTAATTACTACAGTCTTCCTCAATATTATTTTTTTTGCTAATGACTACAGGTTCTACAAGTACCCTTTTAAAAGACTAGCAGTGTCTCTCCATCAGTCAGACACCCTCATCAAACATGAGAAGTCTGCCCTGCACAGTCTACAGCTTATGCAATATTTTAGAAAAGCCATTGGAAATTTCAAAGTTCTACCTTACCTTATAGGAAAGACCAAAACAGGAAAAATATACAAAAGGAAAGAACAAAGTTAACTACCAATTTGAGTCCCAAGTAAGTACCAGCTTCTCTGGCTGGTAATATTTCATTCCTGCTATCTCAGAATCAAAGGAACCCTCTCCTCTATAACTGAAAATATTTTTATTGAGGAGTAGAATCAAATGAAAATTCTCAAAATAGGACTCAAACCACAGCAATGTCAAAGCTCATTGTAGAATATTCTTAGTTAAATAAAATCATCAGTCAACTGAAAAGGATAGGACCTTAAAGAGGATAAAAAAATGGGATTGGGTCTAGGTCCACACTAGAAACTACATCTAGTTTGACAAGTCAAGACAGTTTGTTCTCTTTAGAATAAAACTGTCTACTAGTGCCAGTGCTTCATAGAGTACATATACCTCAGTGGTAAACCCTTTGTTTAGCATCAGTGAGGCCCTGGGTTCCCAGCACCCTGCCACATACAGTTCAAACAAAATGTCTATCAACTGGGATTTTCAGAAGAAAAGAAAAAAAAGTCAAGTATGTTTGCTAGGGAGAAGAAGACCACTCATGCCATACCACCACATATGAAAAATAAATCTCTACTATGCTCTTCAGTTTATTCATCTGGGAGGTTTGAGACCTTTTAATAGGGGGTTGGTAATTTTATCATGGTTGGGAAATTCACATCACAGATGGAAGTCAAATGTCACTACAAAAAGATTCAGTGTGTGTCTCAAGAAATACAGATCACTGGAAATCTAAATATTCCCAGAAGCATAGTCACCATGGAACCTTTCCACAGAAATCAGAAGGGACAGCACACTGAGAACTGAGATTTCGTTTCTCTGCACATTCACTCTATCAACCCTGCTCCTTGAGTATGGCTGTCCAGCAGGTAGTCCTCGGCATAAGGAACACGGGCTGCCGAATAAGGGAAAACCCTGCCCTCACAGAGATTTAGTCCTATTAGAAAGACAAGATAACAAGGTAGACAATATGCTAAATAGTGAGAAGTGCAAAGATCAAAAATATAATAGAGGACCTGGGATAAGAGGTATAGGTGAATGTTTCGACTCAAAAGTCTGATGATATATGAGTAGGCCATATAGGAAAGCGAGGGGTGTCTGAGGGACAAGGGGGTAGCAAGTACAAAGTTCCACAAAGCTACTGGCCACTGGAGCTCTAAGCAGGGTGAAGGGTATATACACAAAATAGATACACATATAAGGACCAATTCATTGGAGGTTTTCCAGTCATCTAAGTAAAAGATGGTGAAAACCAGACTTGAGGCAGTATTGGACAGGAAATGTGGTGAGATGTCTGAGTACTGCAGAGAGTCAAAGCAATTGATCAGACAACAGGAGTAGATAAGGTAGAAGGCAAGGAAGTCTCGGGTGTTCTGGCTGAAGGGTCCAAGAGAATGAAATTTAAAAGAGATGGAGAAATCTGGATATATTAATTATATGACTGCTAACAGCCCTCCAATTACTCCATGCCAATTAAATAAGGAAGAAGTACAGAGACAGGAGTGAAGATGCCATCAGCAGAGTCATGAAATAGTTTGAAATTTGAAGCCCAGTCTGCCTCTGAGTTTTAGCATTGATGTGCTTGCTGGGTTACCTCCAGTCTGTCCCCCCCAGCAGAAAGAGATGACAACTATTATGTTCAAAGCACTTATTTTGTATCAAAATACAATTATATATAAGTGTGAGAATGTCATAATGAAAACTATTAATTTGCATGCTAACTAAAAAAATTAAAGAATAGTTATTCTTAAAGCAATTGTCTATCTACTAGTAACATATTCAACACATATTTATGAGAATATGTTGACACATTCAATAACAAAAACATGAGAATATTTTATGACCCTGGCACTTCAAGGCTATGAGAATACTGTAGCAAACAGAAGGATAGGGTGGTACCCTGCCTCTGACTTTGAATGAATTCATATAATAAGGAAAGCAATACTATTAGAAATGTAGTTAATAATAATTGTAATGATCCCTACATAGAAGTTATTTCAAGTTTTCTCCCTGGACAGCTTCCCAACATTCTTCTTCTATAGAAGGATAGTCCCTCTGGGATTGCATCACCAAAATGGTACATAAATTTGGCTAACACATACTTTAAAGATAGTAAAGAATGTATGGTAACAAACATAAGATTATCTTTGTCTTTAGAATCCTATATAACCAAGTATCAATCCTGTAATGTCAGTACTGAAGAGACTGAGACAGGAGAATCACCATGAGTTTAAGACCAACCTAAATTACAGAATGACACTTGGCATCCTCCATGGACCAAAATGAATCATAACTAGAAATATCATAAGCATCTCATTCAACAATGAGTTGCATCCATGAACTGTCACTTCTTCACCTTGCTGATACCAGGGGTTATGTAAATTAAAGGGTAGTCAACATTTGGCAAGAAACAAACAAACAAACAAACAAAAGCCACTCCTGTGTTCTAGTCAATGGTAATACTTAACAAATACTTCAACACAAAAAGAATCGTCAAAGGAGCCATTAGAGGCACTACTGACTACATCAACATGTACATAGGCAAAAACTTCTAGGACAAGAAAATGTGTGTGGTGCTGGAAAACAGAGAATCCTGTAAGACCCTCTCTTGCCAGACTAGGAGACTGAGGCTCGGGAAGAGTGTAAAGTGTGCTGAGCTATCTAACAAACAGCAGAACCAACACTAGATGAAGACCTCCCAACCTGTGTGAGCCTCATTCCATAAAGAAAGGAACAAAGGGAATCAGGCAGTAAGAAAAAACCTTTACTCCAGGATCCTTGTAGACTAAAGGTACATCCTGCAGAGGGTTACTACATATTGTAAGACATTTAGTCTAGAATATGTAACTGATCTCTGTGAAGAAAAATCTCTGATGTGACTCCTAAAATCTCAGAAACTTGCAAAGCATTGAACAATTTACATATTATGTCTTCATAAATATTAATGATATGATTATACATGTTATATAATACTTTATCTATGTAGTGTATTTTTTACATGCATATATACATATCATATGTAGTAAGTGCTATTATTTATTCTATTAAGAAACAGGGCCATGTAGCTAATAGAGAACAGAGTATCAAATGAAACTGAGGTGTCTGATTTCCAAGTTCAGATGAGCCTTCTACTTGCTTTCAGCTGAAGATTTAGAAGATAACAGGGTTTTTACTTGAAATTACACCATCTCTGTCTTAGAGTTAAAATTGTCTCCCTAGTACCCTTTCTATCTGGGAACAGACAATGTCACTGAAGATCACATAGTATGTGTGCATGGAGGGATGTGTAGAAATGTTTCTCGGCCACAGCCTTTGGGTGCTAGAGTTTATTATCACCCTTCTGCTTTATCATTAAATAGTATATAAGTTGAGGTTGACATCTTTGTCAACAAAAGTCAAATTCCTGGAGCCCTAGTTAATAAACTATGTTCCAGCAGTGAACCCTGCATCCACAATAAACAAGGACAGATGGCTAGAATACCCATTTCTTTACTGCACCATCACATGGATCAGCCACCTGATGCTGAGGCTAGAGAAGGGAGCACTCAAGGCTCATCCATTTGCTCTATTCTTGCTTCCCCAGGCCAGCACTGCATTCAATCAGCCATGTCTCACCTTGCTGTCTCCTTCCATTCCATCTCCTGTCCATCCACAGCCAGCAGCTCATCGAGTTCAGTGAAGAGCTGAGGGGGTGCTGGGCTGTCATCTTCCTCTCCCAAGATGAATCGGATGCGTTCTGCGGCTGGGGAGACTGCAGAAGTGAAAATACTGTGGTTAAACATTGGCTGGAAAACCCTGAGGAAAGTATAGCTTCGGGCTCTTCCTCTCTCCCCAAGATTATTGGGCTTCCCTTCCACATTTTCAGTGGACATCTTTTATCTTCAACCTAAAGCCAAAGACAAATTAAAGCCTCTCTCTGTTCCTATGAGCCAAACTATATCTTGGTTCTCCACTCCTTTCAAAAGGACAGACGTCTAGTTTTGTGTGGTTTATGAGGAAGACCCTTGAGCCCTCAGATGAGCTGAGGTCCAACCTCATGACTTCCCCTCCTCCTCACTTATGACCTATCCAAGATTATGAGACAGGAATTAGTTTGAACCAATCGCTTCTTCAAGCAGCAGTGGGAGGGACATCAGAGCACCCCAATCCTGAGACTCCACAGGCCAACCACCTGCCCTCCCTCTGCCCTCACAGGTCATTCACTGCCCGTGACTGGGTAACTGTAGAGCTGATGAAGGAATATTTAACAAGATGGGATCTCTTCTTCACATAATGGCAGTATCCAAAAATGTTTAGTCTCACTTCAGTGCACTTGAAAAACAAGCCCAAGTAAAATATTGGACACCTTGAGAGGGGGTGGGGAGAACATTTTCCAACACACTTAAGCACATAATTGAATGCCCTACTAGCTCCTTTTGACCCTGTCTCTTGAAATCATGTAATGAAAAATTAACTAGAATTTCACCCAGATTGTGAGCTAGTCTCTTTAAAGAGAAAGGAAAGAGGAGCACTTGGAGATCATATTACAAAATTAAGGCTAGTGCATATTTTCATATGCCTGACTAAAACCAAGAAGCACTAATCCATGTGAAAGCAAGACTCATATTATATACTGAAGAATATATATATATATATATATATATATATATATATATGCAGAAATATGCATGTCAAACAGGCTAGAAAAACACACAAGTCCCTACCACCTAAAATATATAGAAATACAGGATAGACTAAGATAGCTTTAATGAAAATTTAATTACTACAAATAAATGCACAAATAGTCAATCCAAAAACAAATGCCTACTATTAAATAAAATATGTGCTTTATATATTAATATAAAAATGACAGAAAAATAATGACATTGGCCAGTATATAGGAACCTTGCAAAAACATCTCCAGATGTTGGTTGTTAGTAGAATCATGAGCAGAATTCTCTAAAGGGAAATTTAGAAATGTATGAAAATGTCTTAAAAGCATATTTTATAGGCCAGAAGTTCTTCTACTAAAATTACATCCATTTAAAAATACAAATTATTTCAAAGATTTTAGTATAAAATTGATTTTATTGTTTAGAATTGAGAAAATTTAAATCTTAAATATCAAGAAAAGAGGATTGGTTAAATAAAGTGTGGCACAAATGTACAACAAAATATTGTGTAGGAATAAACTATGAAGTGGAAGGAACTGGTGACATGACTCAGATGCAGAGTTCTTGCCTAGGATGTTCAGGTTCTGCATTTCAATTCCCTTTCATTAGAAAAAAAAAATGAGTCTGGGGGAGATAGGTCAGTGGGTCAAATTCTTGCAGGACAAGCATGAGGAACTGAGTTCCAACACCCATATAAAAAGCTGGGAGTGGTAGTACATTATCTGTAACACTAGTGCTGGCATGTGGTGATGTGTGGATTTGGGGGGGGAGGGGAGCTGTTGGCCAGCCAATCTGCCCAAAGCAGAAAATTCAGTGTTTAGTGAGACATCATATAAAAAATTAAGATGGAGAAACAATTAAGGAATGCAACTCAATGTCAACCTCTCATCTCCACACACAACCTCAAATACAGGAGGGCATGTGTGCAGAAATGTATTCACCAACCCACGAGAAGAGAAGAGAATAAAGTGAAAGTATTTTTGTAGGCACTGCCATTGAAATACCATTGAAAATAAAACGTGAAGGAAAGATATCAAGTTTATGACATGTAAACCACATAAATTTAAATGGAAAAAAAACAATCACAGGGAAAAACTAATCCTACTATAATAGATTTTCTTAAAATGGATGCTACAAGTTAAAGCCTAGGGCTTAGGACCCTATGCCAATATGCATGTTTTACAGTTTCCATAGTCTACTTACATAACACTAGTCACTCAACAGGGCAGTTCACATTTCAGTTAACATAGTATATTAACTCTAGTTGTATTAAGTATAAATTTGCTGCTAGCACTTCAATCCATAAATCATTGCATAACTAACAATTGGGGAGTTTTGCTTATTGGCCAGTCATGGAATTTCTCTAGTCTGTCAGTGGTTGGCCACTGAACACTCATGATTCTGTTCAAACACAGACAGCCAAGTGTGTGCTTATGTTACTGTCATGTCTCCTCATGATAAAGCTGACACAGGTAATCCAAAAAGAAGTGGGGGGGGGAGGGGGACTGGCCAAGCAAAGTGAAAGTAAAGCACACAAACAAAAAATGGTAATATCAGAAAAGAAATCTGACCAAAGGTAATGAATATAAAGAAGACATGCAGGTGAGTGAGACAGTGACAATGCTTGCTTGCAGTTACCACATAAGGGACTCTGGATAGACACAGGAAATTAATGAAGGTAAGCTCATCAACATGCATGAGGAAAGTAGTTGTAATAAAGAAAATCAGGAGGCCACACAAGGTGCAAAACACTAAAAAGTCCGAGAGCATGACAGTGGCCATCAAGAGAACAGAACAGACATGCTGTTCCAAAGGATGCACCATTGTAAAGATAAACTTTATCCAACTAACTGAGTAAGATGTTAAAAAAAGACAACTCACTCCATTCTTGATGCTTTTAATGTTATAAATTACTGAGGACTAGATAAATATCACACTCCCCTCAAATTTCCCAATACCTTTTGAGTCAACATCAAGAGACCTTAATGATTTGAAAATGTTTTAGAATCAAGGAACAAAAGCAGCTTTTTCCCATAGACGCTAAGGATCCCTTCTGTGTATTCCATCTCTCGTCATTTTTTCCAGTTGTGCGCCACTCACTAGGCCATTGTATAAGTACAGCCCCTCTGTACAGGCATATTTACACTTAACAAGTATATCTGAAATGTTACAGGGTTTATTCCCAGGACTGGTTTTCTTCCATTTACTTCTTTCTAAATCATGAAGTTATCTATTCCTCTTCATGCTTTTATTCACCCAATGTTTACTGAGTACTGTCTGTGTTCTACACAGACTTAGCTTCAGGCTCTACATATTAAATAGAACTCTGACAGAAATATCCCTGTTCTCCTCATGCACATAGAGGACATAGGCATCAACTAAGCAATTGATCAATTTGTTAAGTAAATCAATAAGTTCACACATGAACTGAGAAAAAAGATTTGCTAAGTGTAAGTGTTTACAGGACATTAAGGTAATTGAATACATTGAGACAGAAAACAGTACAATGACTTTGTTTGATTTCTATAATTAGAACAAAAATGGCTCTGGAATTTCTTAACATCACAAGAAGATAAGAAAACATCCTAGGACTTTTGTGTAAACTATTTATGTCTTTCTAATCACAAAATGAGTGGAGGTATCATTACAGAACATTGGAGAAGACATGATAATGAAGAAATGATGGGCAGAACTTGGAATCTGAACAGTACTCCCCAGGAACAGGATGCTCACATTACTAAAAGTTTAGTCACCATTTTCAGCACGGTGCTTCTAGAACTGGCAATCACAAAATTGGCCACTTGTTGCCGTCATTCAACATCAAAGATCCTAAAGGCAGCCAAGAGTCAGTGGTACAAATCTTTAGTCCCAGCACTTGGGAGACAGAGGTAGGTGGATCTCTGTCCAGCCTGGTCAAAATAATGAGTTCCAGGACAGCCAGAGGTATAGAGTGAGACCCTTTCTCAGAGAGAAAGAAAGAGGGGGAGAGGGGACAGACATAGACGTAGACATAGATGTAAATGTAGGCATAGACATAGACACAGACAGACAGAGAAACAGAGAGACAGAGAAAGACAGAGATCCCAAAGGCAGAAGTAGCATTTAGGAAGGGAAATATATAGGTTTAGATAGCTGACTGAATTTTTGTACCTTCCTAGAGATGTAAGGTAGACTTGACCTCACTTCTAGCAGAGAAGAGTAAATGCTTTGTAGTGTAAATGACAGTTTCCTGCACTGAAGATCACATTCCGGTATGGCACATCTCCACAGAACACCACTCTCTGCCCTGGCATTGTCAGTGTAGGCAAACAGCAATCTCTATTAGCCAGCATCTTGAGGAGGGCTTCTGAAGAATGGGTGGAAGAATGTTGCCTAACCCTACATCGGTCTCTGGGTGCCATGTCTAGCATTATTTATGTTAATTTATTTGTTAAATATAGACCCATGAACAACCAGGATAATATGCCTTTGGGGAACAAAATTACAAAATTTTGTGTCATATATTAGCATGCATGGATATGGAAAAAATAACATTGTTCTGAAGTTAGAGTAGAGACTCTGGAACTGGACTACCTATGTTTGAATCTCATACTTCTTTAGCCCTATGACATGAACCATGTTAATTAATCTCCCCATTTTTTCAAATTCTTCATTTGCACCATGGGATGATAGTGATGATTATAGAGCCAAAATTAGTCTTGGCATTTGCCTCTGCTTACTAGGAAAAAAAAAAAAACAATAACTTATAGAGAGCGGCTTTGAGAGCCATGTCAGGCTGTAAATAAGCTGCCAAAGGGGTGTGTGTGTGTGTGTGTGTGTGTGTGTGTGTGTGTGTAGCAGGATAATTTCCTGCTACTGTTACATTACTTGTAATAAAGTTTGGTAATTGGAGAGGAGTTAATATGGGAGGAGCGAGGAGAGAAAAGGAGAGGAAGGGGAGGAGAGAGAGGAGAGGAGGAGGAGCAAAGATGGCTGCAGATATACCCATGTCTCTAGCAGTCTCAGGTAGTTATTAATATCTAGCTTATTTAATTGGGTTGGTTAACAATTCTAATTGTGTGAGCATCTTGTTAATCGAACATTTCCAAATATATAAATA